GGGCACGCCTGCCCCCGCCAGAAACAAAACCAACCAGAAACATAAACAAGAAGGAGATTGCTTCAAGTCACAGGAAGTGTGAAAGACACTTCGCGGAAGGGGGACACGGCAAATCGAGACTCAAAGAGAGGGAGAGCGGGGATGCTGCGCTGTGAGGCATCCTGCCGGCGGCCCCGGGGTGGACCTGCGCCCGAGTCCGGCCAACCCTCCGCTCCCCGGCGGCGGGACGGCCTCTGCGCACACCCCGCAGCCCCGCTGTCCCCCGCCGTGGCTCTGCAGCCTGCCCTGCCCTGCCCAGCGCCTTCTTCAGCATCGGAGAAGATGGATCCCTTAGGAACACGAGTCGACCCTTTTGGGGAAAGGGGAAATGCAAGCGTCAGGATTTTCCCTGATTAACGGCTTGTGATCTGGAGCATGTGATGTGTGCATTCGATGGTGGACTGGAGAAGGAGGAAGGAGAGAGAAATGCCCTGAGGCCATTTCTGCTTATTCTCCTTCTTGCTTTTGGAGCATCCTTGGGGATTGCCCTTTTCACAGAGGAGTACGGTTTGGAGGAGAAAGAGGGTGACACATTCCCAAGGAGGTTATTTACAAGTGTTCTTTTCTAGAGATCAATGTGTTGAGCCTGGTGAAGAATGATTTCAATTTTGTCTTTAAAACTTGGATCAAACAATGCTGACAATGCAAAATTCCCCACCATCCAGAGATTAAACTTGTTCTGCTGTTTTTAATAGGGGCCTGAGTGCATTGCTTGCCAGCGGCTCTCAGCACCACGCTCGTTGTCTTTTAGCAGGTTCTGAGAGCACTCTGCAGAAATAACCGCTTTGCGTCTGCATATTGCTCAGGATACCTCTGATGCAGCGCAGTGTCAGACCTGGGAGCGCCCCGCAGGACAGAACAGAAAAAGCGTTCTGAAAACCGGGTGCAAAGATAATTATGGCAGTTTGTTCAACTGGATTTAATTCTGGATTACAACGGGCCCTTCTTACGACCTTGAACAATTCACAGTGATTGAGGGCATGACGGCAGTGCAAGGACACCAGTGTCCTGTGCAGCGTTTGAGTTTCTAAGAGGTCTACACTCAAACATCCAAAGCAATTTATAGCAAGAGGTACCCTTGGCATACAGCATCTCCTGGGAAATGGCTGTCTAGCTGAGGTTGATCACCCTTGACTTCTCCTAGAGCAGTTCGCTCCCTGAGCCAGCAATTAATCCCACTGTCTCCCCACCCCTACAACTCAGTTGTTAAGAGCGCACTCCCAATAAAAGCAATACACTGCTGCTCAGGCGAACAACAGCCAAACCTGGTTCCGTAAGGGCCATTCTCCCACCAGCGTAATGCGGAGCAACGCAACACACCTGTAGGATCCCGAGGAGCTGATGTTTTAGTAGTCGCAGAACCCACTTCTGTTGTGTATTTGCAAGGGCTCCCTGACTCGTACACAGTTCATTGCCCGGCAAGGACCAGAGCAAACCTCCAGTCTGTTCCATCGGGCACCTCCCAGCTGTACTGCCACAGCGCGCGAGCACGAGCCACGTTCCTCAAAGCCTTTTCTTTCGGAAAAGGAAACGTGCTCCCGCTGTTACCCTGTGCCTGAAGGACAGGTCGCGATCCTCCGCTAGGATCACATTATGGCATTTTTGTTTTGCGCTGAAAGTGACCCAGGCGGTGGCTATGCTTTGTTGTGGGTTAGGGACCAGCGACAGACGCTTCGCCAACGCACGTGAGAGCCCTCAGTCCTCAAAGCAGCACACCTTCACGGCAGCTTCTCTCTCCGTGGAATCCCTCCCAGAGGCTTTGATGGCTTATTAGTTACCTCCAGCTGCTGCTAAATTGCAGGAAATAGCGAGGTGCGTTTTGGCTCTTTCCAGAAGAGCACAATTCCTAAAATATTTACTTTACCGGTTGCAGTAGAGGGTGAGTTTTTTCAAGAAGCTCCGGGAGCGTTTGCTGCCCAAGCCTGTCCCCATTGCGGACCGCAGCTCACTGGCCGCTGCACTGTGATTTTGCCCGGGGAGAGGAATGTCCCTTCAGCCCTGTTCGGAAAGCCCTGCGCTAAAATGCAGACTATGCCTCAAAAAAGTCCTCAGTCTGAGCTAACAATCTGAAGTTATAAAGGAAAATCAAGTGTCCATCACCTCATTCCCTTGTGGTTGGCTGTAAGCTCCTCCAGCAGCGTACCAGCTGCCCGAGCACTGGTCTGTGATGGTGCCATAGCTTTGCTGCTCATTTCTGCAATACAAATGACGAGCGACCCCGCGCAAGCAAAGCTCCAAGCTTTCCCCTGTGATCCCAGATGCCACAGCATTTCCCTCCTTCACTTGGGCGGTCTCAGCCCAAACTCAGTACCAATTTTATGGAGCGCTCTCCTCCCAGCGGAGCGCAGGTCCCCGGGGGTCCCCGCTCCCACCGCCAGCTCTCGCTGCAGCCAAGGCGCCCGCTGCCTCCCCGCTCCCTTCTCATCGCCTTTACAGAGCTCGTGGGTGTGCTGCTCTCTGCTTGCTCTTCATTTAGCCTCCGAGTTGTAAAGCGTTATTAAACCTGTCCTTAGCCACTTCTGAGCGGCAGACAAGGCTGCCACGCTCCACCAGCAGTTGATTTATTAGTCAGTTCTGCAAGACTTTAATCTACTTGGAGGGTTTTTTCTTCTTTTTTTCTAATTCATAAATGGGTATCTTTATATTTAATCTCTAGTCAAACTACTCCTTACTTGATCTTTAAACTGTTAACACGAGGGTATGTAATTGCCTCTCTCCAGGGCTGCATCCTCCCGCAGCGAGCATCTGAGCCCAGCGGGCGCTCGAGGGCAGCGCCGGAACGCGTCACGCTCGCCCACTTTCAGGCTGTATCTCACTGCAATATGTGAAAGTATTAGATGAGAACCGTGATTGCTTTCCGGGAAAGATATATTTTCACTCCCAATCAAAACATAAAGGCACCTGACTTCCCTCTTCCCTAAGGCAGGATGCGCAGACAAGCGCTAACTGATTGATTTTGTGTGATTTTGGCCTTCATTTATTACAAGGAGTCACACAGCGCAGCATACAGTCAGCCACCCCACATCTTGGGACAAAGCAGGTATCGCCACAGCCAGTCTCGTATGCACCGAGTGCCTCGGGGATAAAAAAAAAAACAGCAAACAAAAGCAACAAAACCCCAAAACTTTAAATATCTAATATTCACTGGACACAGTTCTGTTTTTTTTTCCTTTACATTTGAAAAAAAGCAAAAACTTCCCATAGAAAATTATGGAAATAAACTATAAAGAAAAGCTCGTTATTTTTCCAAGGGTTTTTTCATATCAGTTTTCAATATGCAAGTCACGTCCCCACCATGAAGTGGAAGGCCGCACAGAGCACAGATACAATCTAGAGAAGATTTTGCGTACACTGTCTAAAATAAAGCCGCATCAGCTCCGTTTTACTTGTACAAAAACCTGCTTAAAAATATTATTCTTCTGTCTCATCACCAAAGAGAAAAGATACATACAAATAGCAGCGATGAAAATTAAACAGGGTATTACAGATTCAAGTTTAGGCCCACGGGAAGAAAATGACTACATCCCATCTGAGACACCTCCTCAGGCGCTGCCGTACGTCAGAGCCAGGGACCGGGTGTCCCCGGCGGGAAGGCAACCAAAAATTCACCGGTGGGGTGAATTCCCCCCATCTGCACTTGGGAGCCCTCTTGGCTGAACTGGGAGGGGGGGAAACCCAACCAGCAAGTGGTCGCCCAGGAGATGCCGCAGGCTGGTCCCTGCCTGCTGCACCAAACGGGACACCCCTGAGAACTACACGTAAATAAAAGAGATTAATTTTATATTCCTTCCAGGTGCAAGAAAGACTTGGAGATAAAACATTCATGAATTCAGAGAGTCGTGGAATGGTTTGGTTTGGAAGGGACCTTTAAAGGCCATCTAAGTCCCCTGCCCTGGGCAGGGCCACCTCCCACCAGCCCAGGTTGCCCCAAGCCCCGTCCAACCTGGCCTTGAACACCTCCAGGGATGGGGCAGCCACAGCTTCTCGGGGCAACCTGCCCCAGGGGCTCACCACCCGCACAGGGAAACATTTCTTCCTGATATCCCATCTAAAGAGCGGCCCCTCCAGCCGGAGGACCACCCAGCTTCAGGTCTCTCGCCGCCTCTGTTCACGGCCGTACATTTCTCACCCCTCCAGCAGTACAAGCACAGCCGAGTTCTCTGGAAACTCGGGGTGAATTTCGAGCCCTGCATCTGCTGCGTGGCCAGAGGAAGGCTCTGAAAATGGTTTTTTTAAAAAAAAAAAGGCAAACTCAGCATGGCCCGAGGCACACCCGCTCTCAACGTCTCCATGGTGGTGTCGGCAGTTGCTGCAGTTGCTCAGTAGCACCGACCACCGCTGGAAGGAAAGGTGATGTCCCCCTCAGCCCCAGCCAGGCACCGGCACAGCCGCCCCGGCAGCGCGTCCGTCACCACAGCCACCGGGCAGCTTGGAAGAACTGGGAAAACCAGAGAGCATCTTACAAGTTACGTTTCAAATTCCAATTTGTTTTCTATCTTTTGGAATTAGTTTTCTCTGTTTTCTTAACACCTTTAAAATACCAAATAAACATCAGATTTAAAAAAGATAATATAAAGCAGCATTTCTCTCTTCCTGTGAATTGGACCGTGGTGTATGCGGGAAGCCTCCCACACTCCCCTTTCAATCCATAAATACGACGTGCTGCACAAACCCCTTCCACCGGGATGAAACATGGAGCTGATCACTGCTTGCTAAGCTGGAAAGCGCCAAAATTAACCTCGCACTCAGGCACCGACAGCCATGAATAGCAAGCGCTTCACTGGTGCGATGCTCTGGTTTAGCACCGGTTTCGGAAGGAGTCTCACATCCGCCTAAAACAGGGCCACGGCACCCGTGCAGGCAGCGCTCCTGCGCCGCGTGTTCGGAGGGATGGGATGGCGGCAGCAGCCGACGGAGCGGGTTCCCCTCTCCCGCTGCATGGGTCCGTGCAGTCGCCTTGGGAGACAGGCAGCGCGGTGGTTTGCACGGGGACACAGTCTGGTCACACGCAGCAGCTTTGCAAAGCCCGGCAGGAATATCTGAGGGCGGTTTCTCAGCCACTGCCCACCCCCGGCCCCGCCGCCCTGTGCGATGCGCGGGCACTGGGGTCGGCACCAAGACGCGGGATACAGTCAGGACCACACACGGGCTCATGAATTACTAATCCGTTATCCCAGGACAGTGGGAAAAGTCTGTTTTGCAAATGTTACAATGGAATCAACATTTGTTACGTATGTTATTGTACAGAAATGATTTGGGGGGGCCCAAGTCACAACGCAGAGTTCAGACGTGCAGATCCAGGCAGACACAAGGACCATCCCAGCCCCCCACGTCTCCCCAGAGTGCGATGTGGCACCTCCTCCTTCTCCCACCCTCCTCTCCGCTCTCCTGCGCCCCTTCCCAAAGGTGGGATCCCACAGGGGCTCAGCGCCGGGACATTTGCCCCCCACAGACATGTACTTTTTGCCTCCAGATGTTTAACATGCCTCAGCCTTTCACCGCCCGCGGCCAATGCCCGCTGCTGGGGGAAAGCTGTTTTCTCCTGGACATCGCACACCCTTCCCGAGGCAGGGACCCCCTCATCCCCCCCACCCCAGGGCTGCCCCCAACAAGCCGTGCCTGCTTGTGCCTCATTCTGTTCGGAACGGATACGGCCAGATGCAGCCACAGCTTCCCCACCCAACATCTAAACTTCCTCCGAATGTGCTGGAACAACCGAAAAATTTGCTGCGAATTGGAAACAGCCCGAGTTCGCAGGGGACTGGGGAAAAAGACTGGCTGCAGCTGGCCAAATTAATTCCCAGCATAATTCCACCAAAGTCCGATTTTAACAGGCATTTGAAATAACGTGCTCTTTTCTTGCCCTTTGCCTGTGTAGAGGAAAAAAAAAAAAAAAAAAGGTATTAACATCTCGTTCCAAATCTTTGCATGGGTAATTAGACATGTGGGTAGTAAAGTGCCCTGTGCACTCACAGGTTGGCAGGTGACCAACCTTCTGCTCAGCCAGTTGGTACACTTGTACAGGAGAAAAAAGGAGATACCCTTCCCGGGTTTCACACAACGGACCACACTTTGAAGCTGACAGGTCGACAATAAATCACATGAGAATTTATCAGAAAGCCGAGGAGCATACCAAATTTTTTTGTAAACTGGTTCCATGCAAAGATAATTGCAAGCAGAGTCTAATTCTGCAGTCTCTAATTTTCTTGTCTGACTAAGCAGGCATAATTTACACCCATCAGTTGCAAATGGCTTCTCCCACCAATCCTAAAGATAGAGGGCTTTTTATTTTTTTTTCAGAAGAGAAAAAAAAAGATTATTTCCTACCTCTGCAGAAAGAGGATGAAAAATACATGCAAAGGCTCTCTGACACAAATATGCATTTCCACTCAGCCTAGTTCAAAAGATTATATTGCAGCACAGAAAAGGGAACCCTTGACGGAGCTGACTGGCCAAAACAGCTTCCCTCCTGTCAGGGGACACACATGCGGTGTGATAAAGATAATAATTTAAACTGGTCTTACTTATTCATTTGTTCCCTGTTGCCCTTTTCTGCCTATAAGACGTGCTACAATGGTACAAATTCGCCTGCTGCTGGGTGAGGCTGATGAGCAGCCGGGGCCGCGCGTGGCTCTGCTCCGCACGCCCAGCGGGATGCTCTCACCCCCCGGGCACCGGGACGGCACCGTCCCCGCTCACCGCCGCTACGGCGCCTCCAAAAAGGCCGGGCAGCTCTTCACGTTCTCCCAAGTTTCTGCTGCCACAGGTGCCTCCGCAGTCACGGATGCGGGGGAGCGCACAGCCTGGGCTCCCGGGGTAAGCACCCGCACGACTGCAGCGTCGAACCCCAGATCTCCTCCAAGGAAGCGGCTGATCACAGGAGCCCCACTGGGGAGGTGCCCCGCGAGGGTCCTGCTGCACGGGGCTCACTGTGAGAGCTCAGCATCGGCCCCAGAGCCGGGGTGGCTGTACCACCTCCCACCACCACCTGAGGGGTTCTGCTGTCCCCTCCTGAGCGAAAGCACCCAGACCCCGAGGGGCAGGTCCCCCATACGATAGCCGTGGGGTGCTGCCGCCGGTGCAAAGACCCAGCGGGGCTCCTGCCACGTGCGTGACACCGCTGTGAGCCAGGAGGGGACCCTCAGATGCGGCAAATCATGGCATAAAATGATTAACAATAAAAACAAGTTTTCCCCTGCTTGTTATTTGCTCATTCGCAGAGCCTCCGTTGGCCCGAGTTAAACCAGCTCCAGGCAGGAGAGGCCGGCAAACTTCTTGAGCCGTCACCGTTTTACGAGGGGCCGAGCGCTGGCTCCCCCAGGCCTGCCCCGGCTGGAGAGGGGACGGTGGAAGAAATCAGTGATGCACATACCACCGGGGTGAAGGAAGAGC